ATTGTTGTTGGTTGTACTTTAGAATGGTATGCATAATAATTACATACATAATCATTCATCTGATCCTAATTCTTAGATCACTGATGCAATTGGAGAACTTATAACCAAAAGAATCAAATTTTACCACAAAAAGGATTTAGGCAAAAATCCTTCATTACTGATATAGTGCAGATTAAAACCCATTGCTGTTAATATCACCATTACCAAAGTTAAGACTAAATATATGTCATTACTATTATTACTACCGTCAGTAATGGGTTTGAGCTTTTTAATGCATTATTTCACTATATGTTTTCTAGCCCGTCAGAGGTCCCATGTAGCTTATATATATATGAAAATGATTCAACTCACACTTCTTGAGATATGCGATAGTTTGTCGCTATAAAGTAACACATCAACATTCATCTCAAAGATTTTATTAACAGTAGTGGAATCAAGATCCCATTTGATGAATAGTGTATAGCATATAGCAAAATATTCTAAGTCGCAATTTGCCAGTTACTTATCTGCATAGGAGAAATGGTTGACAGAATTAGCATTTAGTAAACTCGTTAAGGTTTATTCTCTCCCGTTGGTAAACAAATGCTAAAAAACAACAGAGAATCAACATATTTATGGAATTCCCTCCCCCCCACGTAGTCTACATCACCAAACAAAACAAACTAGTTCCCTAAGCTATGCAAAAGAACATTGACAGATGAAAGAGAGAGGAATAAAATGAATGCGATGAATGAGAATAAACAAGAATAACACAGTCATAGCCTCGAAATATGAATAGAAACGGGGAATGGTAGAAAATGGGAATAAGGACAAGACACAGAAAATGGAATTCAAGACGGGAACTAAGACATTAAAAACTATCAGAAAAAAATGGAATGAGAAATATCAAGAGAAATTCTACATTCGCCCCGATGACTCCTGTTTATACGCACAAATGCTGCCAGTGTTGTCATCGTAGTCAAAGGCTTCGACGCAGAATGTACAGGAATCAATGTAGTAAAATGTCTTCTTGTCGTGACTCCAGGCCAGGCCGTTGGCTATGGAGATCTGCGAACAAGATGGGGCTAGTGATATGGTGGAACTTAATTACTTAGAGAAATGTGTGAAAGTTTAGAAATGTTACCAATGACAAGGCGCAAGTTTTGTTTTCTCTCTCTCTCTCTCTCTCTCTCTCTCTCTCTCTCTCTCTCTCTCTCTCTCTCTCTCTCTCTCTCTCTCTCTCTCTCTCTCTCTCTCTCTCTCTCTCTCTCTCTCTCTCTCTCTCTCTCTCTCTCTCTCTCTCTCTCTCTCTCTCTCTCTCTCTCTCTCTCTCTCTCTCTCTCTCTCTCTCTCTCTCTCTCTCTCTCTCTCTCTCTCTCTCTCTCTCTCTCTCTCTCTCTCTCTCTCTCTCTCTCTCTCTCTCTCTCTCTCTCTCTCTCTCTCTCTCTCTCTCTCTCTCTCTCTCTCTCTCTCTCTCTCTCTCTCTCTCTCTCTCTCTCTCTCTCTCTCTCTCTCTCTCTCTCTCTCTCTCTCTCTCTCTCTCTCTCTCTCTCTCTCTCTCTCTCTCTCTCTCTCTCTCTCTCTCTCTCTCTCTCTCTCTCTCTCTCTCTCTCTCTCTCTCTCTCTCTCTCTCTCTCTCTCTCTCTCTCTCTCTCTCTCTCTCTCTCTCTCTCTCTCTCTCTCTCTCTCTCTCTCTCTCTCTCTCTCTCTCTCTCTCTCTCTCTCTCTCTCTCTCTCTCTCTCTCTCTCTCTCTCTCTCTCTCTCTCTCTCTCTCTCTCTCTCTCTCTCTCTCTCTCTCTCTCTCTCTCTCTCTCTCTCTCTCTCTCTCTCTCTCTCTCTCTCTCTCTCTCTCTCTCTCTCTCTCTCTCTCTCTCTCTCTCTCTCTCTCTCTCTCTCTCTCTCTCTCTCTCTCTCTCTCTCTCTCTCTCTCTCTCTCTCTCTCTCTCTCTCTCTCTCTCTCTCTCTCTCTCTCTCTCTCTCTCTCTCTCTCTCTCTCTCTCTCTCTCTCTCTCTCTCTCTCTCTCTCTCTCTCTCTCTCTCTCTCTCTCTCTCTCTCTCTCTCTCTCTCTCTCTCTCTCTCTCTCTCTCTCTCTCTCTCTCTCTCTCTCTCTCTCTCTCTCTCTCTCTCTCTCTCTCTCTCTCTCTCTCTCTCTCTCTCTCTCTCTCTCTCTCTCTCTCTCTCTCTCTCTCTCTCTCTCTCTCTCTCTCTCTCTCTCTCTCTCTCTCTCTCTCTCTCTCTCTCTCTCTCTCTCTCTCTCTCTCTCTCTCTCTCTCTCTCTCTCTCTCTCTCTCTCTCTCTCTCTCTCTCTCTCTCTCTCTCTCTCTCTCTCTCTCTCTCTCTCTCTCTCTCTCTCTCTCTCTCTCTCTCTCTCTCTCTCTCTCTCTCTCTCTCTCTCTCTCTCTCTCTCTCTCTCTCTCTCTCTCTCTCTCTCTCTCTCTCTCTCTCTCTCTCTCTCTCTCTCTCTCTCTCTCTCTCTCTCTCTCTCTCTCTCTCTCTCTCTCTCTCTCTCTCTCTCTCTCTCTCTCTCTCTCTCTCTCTCTCTCTCTCTCTCTCTCTCTCTCTCTCTCTCTCTCTCTCTCTCTCTCTCTCTCTCTCTCTCTCTCTCTCTCTCTCTCTCTCTCTCTCTCTCTCTCTCTCTCTCTCTCTCTCTCTCTCTCTCTCTCTCTCTGGTTTGCTAAGGACGCGATTCTCTTAGGCATCAATTATGGACACACAGAAATAGAAATACTTCAGATAACTATGCTTTATATACTCACGCACACACACACACACACATATGGGGTTACATACAAGAACAACACATTAATTTATAAAAAAATAGTTGTAAGGCTCACCTTGCCGACCATGTGGGAGAGCTGGAGGTCGTGGCCGAGGCGGAAAAGCGACCCCTGATGAAGTTGAGGTTCGCCGGGGGTCGACTCGAAGCCCATGGTGCCTGGAAAATGGCATGAGAAGTTTCTGTGATTGAAAAAAATGGTATAGAATGCATTGCGTGTATATATATATATATATATATATATATATATATATATATATATATATATATATATATATATACATATATATATATATATATATATATATATATATATACATATATATAAATATATGTATATATATATATATATATACATATATATAAATATATGTATATATATATATATATATATATATATATATATATATATATATATATATATATATATATATAATACATATATATATATATATATATATATATATATATATATATATATATATATATATATATATATGTATTATATATATATGTATTATATATATATGTATTATATATATATGTGTATATATATATATATATATATATATATATATATATATATATATATATATATATATATATATATATATGAAATGTGTGTGTGTGTGTGTTCATGCTTTTTTATGCATGTATATTCAGGAAGCTTCGTTCACACCTTCCTGAGCCAAATGGCGCGAACAATACATCGGAATCAGGGCGACTAAGATCAGGATTCTTTCCCGTTCCTACCGAGTCCGTACCTGCCCAGAGGCGCCCTCGGGGGTCGCACTTGCCGTCGTTGAAACGGTTCGTAGGGCTCTGCTGGTCGACGGTGTGCAGGACGGCCTCCGCCTTCACCGTGTGTCGGTCCGGGTCCGTGGTCGCCCACCTGACGACGGCCAGGGAGCGGCCCAGACCCACCAGGAACAGGTCGCGGTCGCCCTCCACGGGGATCACCAGGGACACGCTGGGGCCCGACTCATCTGCCTCTGTTCGAAGAGGAGTATGCGTTACGTGGCCTCCGTTTGGGGAAGCTTTTGGAGTTAAGGTTGAGAAATAATCAAAGTTCTTTATCTTTTCTTGGATTGCTGAAAAATTTATATGCCGTGTCAGGTCTAAGCATCTGTCGGATGTTCAGAGACTCATCTCGAGTCCCACTCCCAAGCACTTACCGACGTGGAGAACCTGATGCCTCCCCGTCTCGAGGAACACCCTGTGGACGTCGCCGCCGACGATGTCCACGAAGAGGAGCGCCTTGTCCTCCTGCGACCAGTAGGGACCCTCGCCCAGCCCCACGGAAGGAGACACCTGCTTGATCTCTACGCCCGACATTCTCTTCGTCTTTCACAGGTACCTGGAATGGCACGAAAGTGTTGCCACATATGCAGTATATCAGCACTAAAAATAATTGCGATTGCATTTATCATCCAGTGGAATCATGCTGCGTCGTGATTTGTGTGTAAGCCAAAGGTCTATCTATAAAAATTAATTTATTTGACCTTGGAGAAGGCGCTACTCGCAAGATAGGCTTGGTCAAGTGCTATACAAGTACTTAAATAGACCTTGTGCTTGACAATCGCCGAAGTCGCTGAACTGAGGGGATAACTGCGATAAAATTGTAGGCTTGGTCATCATCTACAGTAGTCGGAGTAAACTATAACAGTAACAGCCTACACCGTACTAATAGGCATGTTATGCTATCATCTTATCAAAACTCCTTAGGCGCCCACTATAGGGTTTGCCTTGGGCGCAGGCACCGGCGCTGTCTCTAATACAATAATGATGCGACTTCATTATGTCCCTAAAATGATTTAAGATGACTAAAGTAGCACAGATGCATCTCCTAACAACAAGAATAAGGTGTTACTAAAGCAAAAATATGAAGATGATTATAAAGAAGATTATATACATGAAAACTATAATAAATGCTAGTAAAAAAAAAAAACTAAATCAATTAATGAACGAATAACACAATATCCTAGTACAAATTATGATCTAAACATTTTTGAGTGAAACTGTTAAACATGTCAATCTGGCAACACTACCCTGGCGCATTATTGACTGCTTCGTCACTTGCCTCAGCGTTAAAAACAAAACTATATATTTCATGCAGTGGTATTCGCTATCATACTAACACTTCAGTAGAAACAAAGGATATATTATGGTTAATGTAAAGCCCTCACCCCTCCCAAAAAAAAAAAAAAAAAGTTTAAACGTACGGCGGCGCAGTCGCACATCTGATGTTACATAACTTTGACAGTAATACTAAGAACCTTAGTTTATTCCCGTCATACACTCTCTTGCCCTGTAAGTTAATTTTATATGTACATATGTGAGTCACTAGTTTCATATTGCCATGGTTAGCTATAATTATAAAGATATACAAATAGAAATAAAAATGATATTTTCCCTCCAAAAATCAAGGCAAAGGATTAACAGGTGAGATAGATAGAACTAACAATTACCTCCTTTGTGACTAAGCACTTGTGGAGCCAACGTTATGTTTAAACACAATTATTACACAAAAATTACATGGTATTACATACATGACATGTTATGTATTGTAATACATCCCAGCACAAAAAAGACACCAGTTACCGACACCTAAAGAAATCACAGTTTGACAAATTGCCATTCCCTCATCTAGAATAACAGATTATACACACGTTATACAATGTCACATTCAACTCAACTAACGTAGAATCAGAGAACACTAAAGAGATGGTTTGGGTCGAGTTCTCGTCCACAACACAAGGGGAAGCAGTTGCCAACTACTTCCACTTTCGGCGATGCCACGATAAGACATGATATCGCCCGATTACTAACTTGGAGATGTAAGCGTGAATACTCATTTGCTGAAGTTGTCTTGTACATATCAAGAGATTTTGTATTTGATGTTTGCAAGTTGGTGATTCATTTTAAAATATCTAATAAAAACTGATTCATTCGGTGCAAATATAATGATGCACGATGCCTATCTCCGAGTGCTTCTGTCAGGCATGTTCGTGTGGAAGAGAATAGAATGTATTCATTTGTTTGTGTGAGAGCGAGTAAAAAAAAAGTAAAGAAAAAATAGACAAGTTTATGTACGCACTAAAGCAAAAAGAAGAAATAATGCATGAGAGACATTTAGACAGACAAATTAAGAGAGGGAGAGGGAGAGCGAGAGCAAGCGAACGAAAGAAACAGACAGAGGCGTAGGCAGATATAGAAATGGGATCTCTCTCTCTCTCTCTCTCTCTCTCTCTCTCACACACACACACACACACACACAAAGAGAGAGAGAGAGAGAGAGAGAGAGAGAGAGAGAGAGAGAGAGAGAGAGAGAGAGAGAGAGAGAGAGAGAGAGAGAGAGAGAGAGAGAGAGAGAGCAGGGGGTCGGGGAGAAAAAAAATAGTTTTATCTAGTGGTGATAAAGATAATATTGTTCTAAACGCCCCATTGAGAAACCGGCCACTGCTATCGCTCACGTCAGCCTCAGCCAGATATCATGTTTAGGCGATGTCAAAAAAAATAAAGGGAGAAGATAGACATATTGGTATAGAACCGAAGAAGAGAAATGCATAGGCCTACTCTATGGATTGTTATTATTTAATCACTTGAACTCTTGTATGATAGAGGAATATAATCTGCTGTAGCTATACCGATACTAAAATCCCAAAAACGAAAGGAAAGAGAACGGCAAAGTAAGGTCTTCATTTCGGTGGGGGATTTAGATATGCTGTTTTCCTATATGTCTGTCAATAGTACAATAGAGACAGAGAAAATATTTTCTCCGTCTCTATTGTACCCATCTATCTAATATATCCGATTAACCATTCGTCACCTCTTACTCATTGTTGTCGTGGGGGGGGGGGGGGGTAGGAGACTTGGAATGAGACTCAAGTAATTTTGAAAGGCTGACCTTGTGCCAATCAGGAACGGCCCCGGGGAGCCATGGGCACGATATTCCCTTGCCCTTCATGGGGACCCAGAGCGATGAACATTTCATGTTTCCTCCATATTTCAGGCTTACCATGGCCAGTAATACAGATTTTGTACCCTTCTTAGGGGCATCGTGGCTTGCCCCCTTAGCAACTAACCTCCTTGAATCTAATTCCTCTGGTTTACCGACCCCTGACTCTCCTTCGATCACGACTACAACCACTGCTACTTCACCCTCCTCGTCGACATTTTCCGTCAATTTAAACCATACCGAATCATCTACCCCGGCTGTAACTCAACCTCCAAAAGACGCACTTTCCTCAACCCAATATTCTTAATCCCGTCTCTTGCCCAATCGTCTGTATTTCCTACAACCTCATCTCTTATTACAACTCTTCAACCCTATTGCACTCCCACTCTACCTCCTGTCCTTGCTCCCTATGCAATGCTCACCTCTTCAAACCTGAGTACTTTGTTTAGTCCAGCTAAGTGGGTCCAATTTTTTGTGATTCCCCCTACAGCCCCTTTATTCTAACAATATCTTCCTCTTTCGACAATGCCTCCAAAAACAAGTAGGCAAAGTTTCCTTCCGCAGCCGTCCCGATCGTTCACACGTTGTCACAGTTACATCCCAGTTAGTTGCAAGCCCGTGCACTATCTACTGTGGTTGACCTCACTGGTAAACCTATCTCTGTCCGACTACATTCCTCCTTTTATACTTGTACAGGAACTGTTTCAATGTTCCCAGCTGACTGTCCTGTCTACGACAAGGATTGGATAGACTGTGAAGATGACCTACTTGCATGCCTCACTGACTATGATGCTGTGTCACCACAGTGCTACATTATCCCCCCCTAGAGGCCGCCGTAAGTCCCACATCAATATTGCCAAGATTACCTTTCGTAGACATGACTTTCCCCATAAGGCCTATATCAGCGGAGAATCTTGCCCTGGCAGACCATTTTGACCTTCACCCCGTCAATACCAGAAATCTTTGGCCACCTGCAAAACACTGTCTCTCCACAGCTCGCTGCCCTCTACTGGTATGTGCCCAGCCTGGTCATGACCGTTCAAATTGCCTGCACAAATATGTACATGTGCCTATTATGGTGGCTCCCATAGTGTATTTTATAGGAACTGCCTTGCCTACAAGTTTGAATCTGGGGCGGCAGTTCTCAGCTAGAAACTTGGTCATACTCTTACACGCAGATGCGGTTTCCTATCACTTCCTACTTCAGTACTATCCATCCCTCCATTCCTCACCCCTCTACCCAATACCCTACATCTTCCACTGCACCTCTTCTCCTCACCTTTCCAACTCTACTTCTCCTATTTCCTAGTCAAATTCCTTTTCCATTCTAAATCCAGATACTCCAATATCCACAACTCCCCTTATGTCTGTTCTTCCTCGCCTCACCTATCGCACCAGACAAGCCAAACGTTCCACCCCATCTTCATCTACCACATCATTTACTACACCTATGCCTTCTACTCCTCATATGCCTATATGCTCTTCACCTCCCCATAATAGATCATTTTCCCCCACCCAACTCTTGAGGACATTTGAAACTTCCTAAGCATGACCCAAGGAAATGCTCCTCTCTCTCAACTATCCTCCAGTTCTATCCCATTCTATCTGCATTCAAAGTGACTGCCGACATCCATCCTCCTCTTCATATTTCCTCTGCCCTTCATGTGATCAAATTCAAACCATTCCACTCATTTTGACATGAGTATCCACTCCTTTTCATGGCTTGATTTTCGTCTAGTCTTCTACTGGTCAGTTCTAGACAACCTTGATTATAGTGATCACTTCCCTATTCTCCTTTTTTCTACTTCCCAACCTCCCTTGCTGGTGCTTTGATAGAGTTGACTGGCATGCCTTTACTGCTCTCTCTACCCTTGATCTTCCCCGTTCATCCTTCTCTTCCACTTTAGACATGCTTCTATACTTCACAGCCAATATAGCCTATACAGCTATTCCCCGAACTTCCCGACCTTACACTTACAAATGTGTGCCATGGTGGAACCTAAATGTACTTAGGTGCTTCACAAACAGTTGGCGAAATTATGTTTCCTCATAAAAGCATGCAGTCTGGCGGCGGATTTATAAACTATCAGGCAAATATTTTCCTCATCCTGCCCCCTTCCTCCAACACACTATAGCTTCATTTCTGAACCTCTTCAAGTAGCTACTGAACTTGGTGCGAATTTTAGCCAGGTCAGTAGCGGCTCTCACCTTTCTCCTTTCTTCTCTGCCATAAAATCTCGAAAAGATATATAATACCACATGGCGGGACCATATCCTTCAACAACTATCTTCCCGTTTCACATGCAGAAACATGGGTGTTTTCATAAAGTCCTTTCATCCTGATTGCACCTTCCGTGTCATTTTTGCCTCTTCTACTTCCTCTTCTCTCCCTCAAGTCGAAGGTATCTCCCAGGCAGTGTACTCAGCACCACACTATTTCTCATTGCTGTAAAAGGATTGGTTTCAGCTCTTCCGCCAGGAATCCGGTCATCACTACATGGAGATGATTTAGCCATCTTTGCCTCTGGTCCTTCCATACCTGCTCTCCATCAGCTCCTCCAGGCTGCAATAACTTCAGTCTCTTCTTGGGCTACCAGTCACGGCTTTCGATTTTCTAAAAACCTTTTCCATTCTCTTTTCTTCTTCACGTATAGGCCTTCACTCTTTCTATATGATGCTCTCTTCCAGACCTTCATGCATAACTTCGGGTTCAGACTGCAAAACACTCCTGCATCTCCACACTACCCTAATCTCCCCATCCTTGATCATGGCTGTCACATATATTCCTCTGCCTCTGCCTCCCTTATCACTCACCTTCACACAATCCAACATGCATTCGTTTAGCCCTAGGCGCCTGTCGGTCCTCTTCAGTTGAGAGCTTATATACTGAATCAGGCTTTCCACCCCTTTCTCGACTTTCTCGTTTTCATCAATTTTCTCTCTCCAAGCTAACGTCCCTCAGTCTCTTCTTCATACCTTCTTCTCCTCTCCATGTTTACCTGCCCCTTTACCTGTTCGTATGGATGCTCTGCTTTTCCATTTACCCATCCCTCATCTCGGATCCCTTCCCAGTCTTTCCCTCCCTGGCTAATATCCTGTCATTCCTCTTCTATTTTCCCTGATCTACCTAAATCATCTCACCTTTTATCCTTCTCAAACATATTCTTGCACATGTCTATACAAACGACTCCAAATCCACCTCAGGTACTGGTTTCCCCATAATCTTTCCTTCTCTCACATACAACTTCCCTCTTCCTCCTGGATCGAGCCTCCTTCAAAAGAACTGTATGCTATCCCCTTCGCTTTACAACGCATGTCTTCCATCTCTTCCTTATCCTTCACCATCTTCACTGACTCACGAACTCAATATCACCCATACATTCCATACAGCTTATCAACCCTACAGTCCTTAAGATACAAGACCATTTGTTTTATCCGTCTACGTGACAGAAGACAGTGAAGTTTTGCTGGATACCCAGCCATGTCGGGATACCCTGCAGTGTAATAGCAGATGACTTGGCACGATCTGCCGCCTTGTCCACAACCCACCAACCTCGCTTTTCATGCATTTCAGCCACTGACTTTAAATTTTTTCTCTATAACCGTTGGCAATCCTCCTGGTCAAGTTTGACCACCAATAAACTGCAAACCATAAAACCTTCCATCTCTCCTTGATCGGCTTCATGCCATCGGAACAGACTCTGGGAAACTGCGTTGGCCTGTTTACGAATAGGTCATACCCGCCTAACGTATTCCTACCTGATGTCACACTCCAACCCACCCCTACGCTCCACATGCAATGTTCCTCTTTCAGCCCCATATATTCTACTATCCTGCCCTCGCTTTACTGAAACCCATACCTTACTTGTCCTCTCTTCCCCTACCTCCCAACCTGTCGAACATCCTCAGGGAATCCCCCATTTTTCCACTGACAACCTGTTCTTCCTCCCTTCTTCAGGCGCATAAATACTCTCCATTTGATCACCCTTTGTCCTCAACACTTCCCCCTTCTATCAGTCCTTTTCATTTCCCCATTTACTTTCTTTCTACTTCTTTCATTACCATACTATCAGATAATGCCATATGACTGTTGAAATCGAAGTCATCTTGGTCTAATAAATAACTTCTTTAAACCACTCAGAATACTTTATCATAGTACTATATGACCTTTGGTGTCTAGCACATTTATTTGTTTAGAACATTACACATTAACCCAATCGTCACAAACCAGGTAGATATTTCGTGGAGATGAACTGAGCAAGGGGACTCGTTCTTTGGATGATACGAAGGGCATACTGCATTGCAGGTCCCTCTCCATTCTCGTACGACAGACTGCAGCGGGAAAGGCCAGAGACACGAATACGGGCCGTGGTGTCTCAGAGTCGCCACTCCTCGGCCAGGCCTTCACAGTTGGCGGTCTGTTTCTCTTCCTGTAAAATACGTTTGCATTTTTTAGTCTTTTTATCAGTATTATGGAGACTTTGGGCACCACCTGTCGTACACAAACGTCCCGTAGAACAATCCCAACTCAGTCTGTGTCTTTCACAGGCATGGCTAAAGGGCCTGATAGAACTGGTTTAAGTTTCCATAGGTTAAATATGGAAAATCTTGATCTTTGTCTAACCTGATGTTTTATTTTTGGTTAAAAGAGTGGTTGTTTATATATTTAAGACATTTTCCATCATCTCCTTTCTATTCGTTGAAATCATCGGGTTTCCATCGCTATAATTATATAGATTCTTTTCCGACAACATATATTTTAAGTTAAATCAGACTCTACCACGTTGATGTAACTCTCCCTCTGAAGCCAACAACAGCTACCAGGCCAAGATATCAAAATACGTGGCTCGAAATCACAGCAATATTAAGCTACATACGTTTTGTTGACTGCGATAGACCTTGGCATTGGCATTTTTCTCGCTGTACTGTACGCCCCTGCACACACAAGCACGCACGCATGCATACACACACACACACATGTGTGTGTATATATGTATATGTATATATATATATATATATATATATATATATATATATATATATATATATATATATATATCAAATCCTAAAAATTAAAAATAAAGAAACAGCCGCTCCCTTCACGCTCTCCAGTTCATTCCAGTTCAGTGAGCTTTGCGAAGGAGACGAAGGCCGGACTTCGTTCCCGGCCTCGGTCTGTCTATCCTCGCGAACGGTCCGAACAAGCGAGCCAATAGGAGTCACATTTACAGTGTGGGTTTGTGTGTTTGGACGATGTTACATTTAGCTAACAGAATAGGGAAAAAATGTCGTAAGGGAGAGAAACAGTTTACGTATGTAGATGAAACTTATACAAGTTTTGTGGAAAATAAAACAATAATTAAGTCAATATTAAATCATGTAGTATGCGCAAATGATGTACATAAGTTATGCACTAATATCAGAAACTAAACAAAATCAAGAAACGTGTGTGAACGGAGAGCATCCTCTGGTGACTTGCAAGGTCAGCTGTCAGATGACTTGAAGCTCAGTCTAGTCTGAAGCTGATATTTAATAATATGCAGATCATTCTTTGCATATCATTCTCCCTTCCTTATCTGTGGCTATATCTGGTCTTTCTCTTTCTCTCTGTCTCTCTCTCTCTGCCTCCGTCCCTCCGTCCATCCCTTCCTCCCACCCTCCCTCATTCCTTTCCTCCCTTCCTTTCTCCCTCCATACCCTTTTCTCACCTCCCCCCTCTCTCTCATGTATATTACAAATTTAAATACTTAACTGCAACTGCAATAGTAAATGTCCATCAATGGCGATTCAGTCAACAAAAATATAATTAATGAACAGCTCTTCCATATAAGCAATTTTAAATAGACGACAATTCAGTATGTGTCAGAATCATCTCATGGCATGAGTTGGAATAAAAGGTGAAATCCCTCTTTTAAGAACACAGGAGTGGCTTTTTCTCCATACATATATACAAGATGGAAGCGCACGGCAAAAGTACGATGCTTATTAAAAGTTCGAAACTGGTTTCTTGTCCTTGAGGCTGCACCACACACCATCAACATACGTGTTTCATTAACACCTGTGATTATTTTATCTTTCGAGAGAAACATAGCTTAAGTACAAAATATTCGATATTCACTTTCCTTTCCTTTCGACTCTCTCTCTCTCTCTCACTCTTAGACTGTCTCCCTCCCTCCCTCCCTCCCTCCCTCTCTCTCTCTCTCTCTCTCTCTCTCTCTCTCTCTCTCTCTCTCTCTCTCTCTCTCTCTCTCTCTTAGACTGTCTCCCTCCCTCCCTCCCTCCCTCTCTCTCTCTCTCTCTCTCTCTCTCTCTCTCTCTCTCTCTCTCTCTCTCTCTCTCTCTCTCTCTCTCTTTCTCTCTCTCTTAGTCTCTCTGTTTCAATCTCACTCTCTCATAGTTAGTCTCTCTCTCTCTCTCTCTCTCTCTCTCTCTCTCTCTCTCTCTCTCTCTCTCTCTCTCTCTCTCTCTCTCTCTCTCTCTCTCTCTCTCTCTCTCTCTCTGCATGCTTGTCAATATGTCATTCTGACTGCCCGTCTCCTTCTCCTCTCACCCTCTCCCTCTCTCTCTCCCTCTATCTCTTCTACCGTTCCCTCTTTCCTACTCCTCTTCTCTAAAACTCTCTCTCCAGGACAGGCTTTTCCCGTCTCTGTAGATGTGGCATTAACCTATTTATTTACCTCTTGTTGCCAAGCCGCGAGCGAAGTTTGGTTAGTGGACATGATGCTTCCAGTGATTACACTTTCCGCCCGTTCTTCCACACAATTTACATAACTAAACAAATCCATTAACTTACGGAATGACAATCAAACTAACACACTTCTCTATCATAATCCGAATTCTAAAAAGTCACTTTACCCACATACACATTGCCAACATCAATTATAACCATGAGAGAAAACACAAACAAGTGAAATACAGGCAACTTTTGCGGGCAGGCTGGATCCCGGTGACGTCACGCGAACTTGTTTACAGCGACCAGTCCTTCCCCGAGCGCCGAAGGAGAGGGACCGGCAGCAACCTCGGGACACCCAGCTTCTTTGGTAAGAAGATAGAATAGAGTCTTAGCCGGATTAACTTTGGGGCCCTGGGGTTTAGCATTCTATGGAGGTTCCCTTAAAGAAGAAATGTTTAAAATGTCTTGGTTGTCGTGAGCGATGACTATTTTTTATTTGTATGATATATATTCGTAAACTAGAGTCACTGAGAATTATTATTGAAATGTGAATTTAAATGTATACATGATTATTTTACAACCTCAATTTTACAACCTCAACCCCAATTATGATATTAGAATTTAAAATTTGTATTTTAAAAGTGTGTCACTAACGCGTGTGTCCGTGGAAGTTTGTATATGCACGCATGCAGTATTAGCCTGTCTTGCAGAGGTCCTGGGGCTATAACCCCAGTTCCTACCTTTCTAAATATTATACTGAGAAAGGTTCATTCTTCTCTTGTCAACTGTTGCAATTTATCATGTAATCTCTTATCAGTTCAGTAGAATTACATAAACCAGTCCGGGTTATTATAAAGCAATGTGTTTTTTTTAGGAAATCCAGACCGAGATGGGAATTAAAGCTATGATAATAAGAATAATCAGAACTATCACGAAAACCATCGACCGCAAGGGAATAGTGACCATTTCGAAGGACTTCTTTAATAATAATAACAATAATAATAATATTGATAATAATAATAATAATAATAATGATAATAATAATGATAATAATGATAATAATAAGATAACAACAATAATAATAATAATAATGATAATAAAATAATAATAGTAATAATAATAATGTTAATAATAATAATAACAACAACAGTGACAACAGAGCAACATCACCATTATTCATAATAATATAAATAATATTGATAACTCCATTAATGATATTAATAACAATGGTAATGATAATAATAGAGATAACGATAAGGCTAATAATAACAGTAATGATGATGATGGACCAAAGGTGAAGCTTTTGTTTGTCACAGCCTAGCGAAACAGGTCCCGTGGAAGGAAGCTCGTAATACCTAACGGAATGCTTCGGCAAAAGGTCGTTGGCCTGTCTTGGCGCAAAGGTGCAGTTATTGTGGCCATTTTACATTGTTTATTTCCTTCTCGACGTTTTCACTGACTTGATTGCTTTCAGGTCGTTTTGTCTTGAGATAAGCAATGGGGCCGTGATTGAGATAAGACTGATATGAGTGATGTTGTTGTGTGCAGTGATGTTGGCAAGTTCACTGTCAGGGACTGTATTGTGGTTTTGTTGTGTGTACTCTCTCTCTCTGTCTCTGTCTCTCTCTCTCTCTCTCTCTCTCACTCACTCACTCACTCACTCACTCACTCACTCACTCACTCACTCACTCTCCCCCCCCCCCTCTCCCTCTCCCCCCCCCCCTCTCTCTCTCTCTCTCTCTCTCTCTCTCTCTCTCTCTCTCTCTCTCTCTCTCTCACTCACTCACTCACTCACTCTCCCTCTCCCTCACCCTCACCCTCACCCTCTCTCCCTCTCTCCCTCTCTCTTTCCTTCCTCTCCCTCACCCTCACCCTCACCCTCTCTCCCTCTCTCTTTCCTTCTTCCTCTCCCTCACCCTCACCCTCACCCTCTCTCCCTCTCCCTTTCTCTCGTCCTCTCTCCCTCTCCCTTTCTCTCATCCTCTCTCCCCCTCTCTCACCTTTTCTCTCACCCTCTCCCTGTCTTCTACCCTTTCTCTCATCCTCTCCCTCTCTCTCACCCACTCTCTCTCTCTCACCCACTCCCTCTCTCTCACCCTCTCTCCCTCTCAATTTCTCTCCCCCTCTCCCCCCCTCTTTCCTTCTCCCCCTCTCTCTCTCCTTCTCCCCCCCTCCCCCGTATCTCTCTCTCTTTTTTCTCTCCCTCATTTTCTTTCTCTCCCTCTCTCTCTCCCTCCCTCCCTCCCTTTCCCTCTACCTCCCTCCCTCTCCCCCTCTCCCTGCTGCAGTTATTTCAAAATCAAACAAGCCATTTGATAACACCAAACCAAGCGGTGACCCGAGGGCTAACCCCAACACCTGCCCTAACCTAACCCTGCCGCCTCACTTGCAGAACGAGAGAGTGCCCCTGCCAACACCCCTGTCAGCACCCCTGCCAACGCCCTTGCCAACGCCCCTGCCAACATGAGTACCAACGCGAAGGTGGAGCAGCTGCCCGTGCCGTGCATGCTGCTGGGGGAAGGACCGCACTGGCTCGAGCACCTGCAGGCCGTCCTTTACGTGGACGTCTTCAGCAAGGCCCTCCGCCGCCAGTTCGTCGACACCGGCAGGCATCAGGTCCTCACGCTAGGTAGGGCATCACGCTACGTAGGGCATCAGGCTAAGTGGGATATCGCGCAAGGTAGGGCATTACGTTAGGGTATCGCGCTCGGTAGGGCATCGCCCTTGGTGGGGCATCACCCTAGGTAAGGCATTGCACTTGGTAGGGAGCATGTTAGGGCAACAGCACTAGGTTGGTTATCGCCCTCGGTAGGCATCACGCTGGGTAGGGCATAGCGCTAGGGCACCAGAGCTAGGTAGGGCATCACATAAGGTAGAGCATGACGCTTAGTTGACCATCGCATTAAGTAAGGCATCGCGTTAGGTAGGGTGTCACAGTAGGGAGGGCATCACTCTAGTCAGGGCATCGCGCAAGGCAGGGCATCACGCTCGGCAGGGCATAACCCTAGGGAGGGCATCGCGCTTGGTAGGGTAATACGCTCGGTTGGGCATCGCGCTAGGTTGGGCATCGCGCAAGGTAGGGCATGGCGCTCGGCTGGGCATCAGTAGGGCATCGCACTAGGTAGGGCATCACGCGAGGTAGAGCATCGCGCTAGGTAGGGCGTCGCACTAGATAAGTCATCGCACTAGGTGGGGCATCACGCGAGGTAAAGCATCACACCAGGTGGGGCATCGCGGTAGGTAGGGCGTCACGTGTGATTGAGCATCGCGTTAGATAGGGCATCGTGCTAAGTAGGGCATCAGGCTAGGTCCGCGCTAGGAGGTAAGGCCCCGCGCTTGGTAGGACATCAGACGCCCAGCAGGGCTTGGAGGTCCTTGCTCTCCTAACCTTGAGCAGGGTCGGCCACGCTTCGGTGGCGGCGAGGGGGGGGGGGGAGTGCTTGCAGTATGATGGCCAAGGTGTGTGTGTGTGTGTGTGTGTGTGTGTGTGTGTGTGTGTGTGTGTGTGTGTGTGTGTGTGTGTGTGTGTGTGTGTGTGTGTGTAGGTGCGCGTGTGTGCGCGCGCGAGTGCATCCGTGATTCTGTTCCTACCTTTACCTGTATCTGTGTGTATTTTATCACGCACACAAACTTGAACACTTAAACCCCCCCCCCCCCCCCCCAGACGACGGCGGCGCGGCGGAGGTGGTGAGCGCCGTGATCCCGATAGCGGGCGAGCCGGACCTCTACCTCGTCGCCCTCGGGAAGAACCTGTCGGTGGTCCGCTGGTCGACGTCTGACCCCGACCAGCACACAGCGACCCCAAAGGTCATCCAGACGACCACCGACGACCACTTCAACGACGCCAAGTGCGACCCTCGAGGACGACTCTGGGCTGGTAGGTGTTGCAGATGTGGATTCGTTTTGTATTTTCAAAATTCAGTTGTATCTCTTGCATCTTATGTTGAATTTGTTGAAGCACGTGATTTATCATTATATGCGGAACATATTTGTTAATTTATTTTAAGATATGAAATGTAGACTTTCTTGTGATTGTAGTGATTTTAAAAGGTTATTTACATCTCCATTCTCGAAATCGTTAGTATTAAACTAAAAAGAAAATAATAATAATGATAATAATTGTTAAACCGTCATATAAGCTCTGTAAATCTATATCAATTCCAATATCACCCTCTCTTTCCTTCTCTCTCTCTCTCGTTTTTTTTCTCTCTCTCCTTCCCTCCCTCTCCATCTCCCTCTTCCTCTTCGGCTTCCACTTTCTCCCTCTTTTTTTTTCTTTACACACATTTCTCTCTGCAGTGCGGAGAAACCGGGCTCCCCTCATGGGCATAGCCCGGGCGAGGCTCTGCCTCGCAAATCAGACAAAAAAACAAAAAAAACTAATCACTTAATACTCACTCTCCCTTTCCTTCCTCAGGTACAATGGGCCCCTTGGACGAAC